CACACACACCTTAGCTTTTATACACTCACATGCACACAGTTGCACACACAGCTTAGCTTTTATGCGCTCACATGCACACACCTGCACACACACACATGCACACACATACCCCTGTACAATTGGATGAAAACAATAAGAATATCTAATGTCTGTCCAGATCAGGCCAAAGTCCATCTAAGATTCTCCAAGCTGTTTTCCTGCTCTGAGCCCCCCTCCCGTCCCCATCTCCACTGCCCCTCAGCCTGGTCTGTGCCCTGCCTCTCAGAGGAGGGGGCTCAGATCACGGGGCCTGAGTGCGTGACCAGCGGCGTGGGATGCCCCCATCGGGTGGGAGGGGTGTGTCCCAGGCCGAATTCCATCTTGCCACCATGAGAGAGGTGCCCTTGTGAGGCTGGCCTCCTTGGCGCCTGTCCGCGCGGTCCCCGCAGTGTGAGCCACGATGCTCCCCATCTGCCACCCATCCCAATACACCTTCCTTATCATGTGTGTTGGCACAGCCAGAGTGAGAAGAGTTTGGCCACACTGGAGATGGAGGTAGCCAAGCAGACATGCCCCCATGCCCCCACGAGTAGCCTGACACCCTCGTGTGCTCCTGGAAGAAAGATCTGGGGGACCCCCCCCACCGGAGCACACCTAGGGATCATCTTTGCCCGTCTCCTGGGAGCCCTCCAGAAATGTGGGGTCCCCAGGAGCCGGGCACTGATGCGGGGAGTGGGAAGTCTGGCGGTTGGCGGGGCGGGTGGGGGGCAGTGGGGGCTGGGTGGGGGGAGCTCTGGGGTAGGAAGTGGTCCCGAGAGATTTTGGCCAGAAAAGTCAGGAGGAACAACAGCAGACTTGCAGAATTAGAGAAATTAGGACCCCCCTAAATTTCACGTCAATTGATCTATTTCCCCTCTTTATTTCTTGGGGCATTTTTCCTTTTTTTTTTTTTTTTTTTTTTTTTTGACCCCCCTCCTTAGCTTTTATGCGCTCAGAAACCAAATTAAACCCCCTCCCTACGTAACAGGGGGGCAGTGACAAAAGCAAGAACGTACGAAGCCAGCCTGAGACCACCACGTCCTGCCCCCCGCCATTTATCGCCCTGATTTGATTTTTGTATCTGTCCCTATTGCTTGTGTTGGGTTGAGGGTGGAGCCTCTGGGGGGGCGCCAGCCACTGCGCCCCCTCGGAGAAGTCAAAGGGGAGTAGAGAAGGCCGCTGCCTGGCCTGGCTTCCGGGGACAGTGGCTGGTCCCCGGAGGTCCTGAGGGCGGAGGGGGGGGTGGGGCAGGGTCTCCTCAGGTGTCAGGAGGGTGCTCGGAGGCCACAGGAGGGGGCTCCCAGCTGGCCTGAGGCTGGCTGGGGGGGAAGGGGCTGCAGGTGTGTGAACAGAGGACTCCATCGGGCTGGGGCAGGGTGGCCGCCTTCCGCACACTTGAGGAGCCCTCCCCTCCCTCTCAGTGACATCTTGCCCGCCCCTCAGCACCCTGCCTTGTGTCCAGGAGGTCCGAAGCTCTGTGGGACCTCATGGGGGCAAGGCAGGGTGAGGTCAGGGAGTAGGGAGGTCAGGCGGGTCTAGCCCGCAGAGCAGGAGAGCTGCCAGGTCCAACCATCGACCGGGTTGCTTGGGCCCCGGAGCCCATGGGTCTGGTGATGCCGAAGCAGCCACCACCTCGGCGCCTAGGGCTGTGGCAGGGACTCGGCGGCTGGGAGGTTTACCTCGCCCCCACTTGTGCCCCCAGCTCAGCCCCCCTGCACGCAGCCCGACTAGCAGTCTAGAGGCCCAAGGCTTCTGGGTCCTGGTGACGGGGCTGGCATGACCCTGGGGGTCGTCCATGCCAGCCCGCCCCGGGCGCAGAGGGTCCCTCGGCAAGTGCCCTGAGAGTGGGCCATTCGGAACATTGGGCAGAAACCAAAAAGCCAAATTGTCACAATTGTAAAACCCACATTGGCCTGAGATCCAAAACACTCCGAGGCACCCCAAATCACCTGCCCGCTCGTCGGGACGCCCACTCACCCAGTGTTATGTTCTGCCTCGACGGGTGGGTGCTCCTGGGGGCACTCGCCGATCAGCCCCTCGTGTCCCCATGTTTGCAGCTCTCCCCCAGGCCACTCACCATCCTGGCCCGGGCCGCCTGTCTGACCTCCATGCCTGTTGTGGCTTTCCATCTCGTCTCCTCCCCATGTCCCCAGTGTCTTCAGCGGGGGCCCCCTCTTGGGTCCCCTCCTCTGTCATCACCTGAAGACCCCCCACGCCAAACACTGAATGTCACCTTGCCTGCCGCCTCAGTCCACCTGGCGGCCCGTGTTTGACTCAACTCAGCGCCTTAACGCGAATATTTCTGGCAAAATCCAGTTTTGGGTTTTGTCTTTAACCTGTAACGCTTGCAATCCCAATAAAGCATTTAAAATTATGATCTTGTGAGTGTTCCACTCTTTTACCTGGGTACCAGATTGTGGGAGGGAGGGATGGAGGGAGGGAAGGGACAGGCAGAGCGGGAGAGGAGAAGAGGGGAAGACCTAGTGGTGTGGGCACCTCCCTCCATCCCCTGACCACGCACATGGAGAAATGGAGGCAGCTGGAAGCCGGACTCTCAGACGCTTGGCCGTGCACCCAAAGCCAGGGAGTCTGGGATAGTTTCAGGCACCAAGTTCTCACAGATGGGGTTGCCAGGAGGGGTAGGAGCCTGAGGGGCTTTTCCAAAGGAAATGCAAAGTACCATCACTACCAATTCCAGGGAATGCCTCCCCAACCTTGGAGGACTGGGGCTGGGCAATGTCTAGAAGGTTCTGGAAACCACCAAAGCTATTGCTGGAGATGGGGCTCAGGGCCACTCCCACTCAGGGACTCAGCCCCCTCCCAAGATGGAGGCTGCATGGATGTCCTTGGTACCACTGCCTGCCGATGGGGTTCAGCCCTATGCCCACCTGTTCCAAGGGTGCTGGCCTCTGGCTTTCAGGGTCCCTGGGCGTGGGAGGAGAGGTAGGCTGGGCTGCTGGGAGCCTGGCCCAGGCCCTCCTCCCAACCCTCTCCAGGAACTTCCCAGCAGCCTTGGGCAGTGGATCTGCCTGTTCCCACCCCACTGTGGGGACGGAGGGGCAGGGGCGCCACAGATGGAGTCCAGAGGTGCATCCAGGGCCCTGCAGCCTTCAGTGCTGGGTGGGCAGTGGGGAGGGGCTTGAGCGAGTTAGGGCATACTTGCTCCCTGGCCTCTGGGGATTCTGCCCCTGGTCAAACCCTGTCTCTCAATGGCTGCGTCCGTCCCCAGCATTTCTCCTGTGCCGGGCACTGGCTGGTGCTGGGCTGTCACCAAAGCCTCTGGGGCCTGGGGGACATCGACAAGGGCATGTCACTGCCCACACTGTCTGAGAGCCACTCCAAGGGAAGGGAGAGCATGAGCGGTGGTCTGGGGGGTTGCCTGGAGGAAGTGGGACTAGCCTTGAAGATGAGGAGGGTTGTGGGTTGGAGAAGAGCAGATCGGATGTGGGGGACACCATGCCTTCCTGGGCTGGTCCCTGGCTCTGCGCCTCAGGGCTAGGGCTAGGCTGGATGGTCCAGGGCTCAGTGCTAGGGCTCGGCTGTAGGGTCTGGGGCCCAGGTGGCATTGCTGAACCCCAGAGGGTCAGGACTGCTCTGAGGCCCTTCTGCAGGTGTAGAGTGAGGCCTAGTCCTGTACGCCTTCCTGAGGCCAGATAGAGTTTCTTTCCCTGCAGGCCCAGGCAGCCCTGCCCCATGCCCCTCCCCCAGCTCTGCAGCCC